ACTTCCTCACTTGCACTGGTCTGGCTGCTAATCCCTTGCAATGCCAGTTGAACTTCCTCTTGTTTTCACGCTATAATATAAAAGGAATATACTGACATCCGTACTATTTCCCTGCTTCAGAAAGTAACATTTTGTAGCTCTTAAAATGGTACCTCCCAAATGCTACCAGACTCCATTTGAAATGCAAATATTCTAGAGGAAACTACCAGTTATCTATTTTTAGAAAATCCTTCTGCTGCTTCTAACAAAGACTTTTAGATCTGCATTCCCAGATTTCAATATCTCTGATACTAAAGTGAAAGCCAAAAAATAGCCATTTTAAAATTTTCTCAGAAGTAAAATCCTGTGCAATTTTGACTCTCAGGAATCTAAAAAGCGTATCTGGAGATAGAACTGTACCTTACAAATAATTAACAACTAACATCAACAGTCAGAGATCACTATGTTAAGTACTACGCACGTATTTAATAAGATATAAGCTTTTATCCTAAAAGCTTGCAATTAAGCCTATTAAAAGTGACACAAAGACATGAGAAAGAGACAAGATAATAATACATTAATTATTATTAGCATAAAGAAGAGTCATAGCATACCATTTGCCTAGTCACTGCAAAGTATTAGCACAATCAAGCTTTTTTTAAAAGGTATCTGAAAATGATAATGTAAGTGGCTTTTCAGACTTATGGAGAGCTCTCTTTTTTCACATTAAGGGCAGCAGGAGGGAGCATGAAGGCATTTCAGGGAAAAATGGAACAGACAAAAATGTCTGACAACACTGGCAGGCCAAAGACCAATGAGCTGAAAGCTCAAAACTCAGTAAAACAAATTACTAGACTTTGTTCTATGAAGAGTCTAAAAGGCCGTTTTTTTCTGCCCTCTCAACTGTGTTTATGATTTCAATGAGACAGAATCTGACTTTGTGATGTTGCTAGATTCTGTCCATATTTACTGGAGATTCAAACACTCACCTCATCAGTAAGAAACTCCTTACTCAGACCAAAGTCTGTCAGCACCACGTGGCCATCAGAATCAAGAAGAATATTCTCAAGTTTTATATCCCGATATATAATTCCCAGCTGCAAAGAGAATACAAGAAAAAGTACTTCCAAATCAGTGTAACCACATCAAGGAGACATTGTTGAACGCATTTAAATAAAATACAACGCTAATGAAATTCCTGTTATTAAGGTAATTTGACCCTGAAAGTTGCACCTCTAGAAGCATAATTTTTAAATGCCTTTGAAAAAAATAACTTCAAGCAACTTAAAAATTCTTAGAAATTACACTGTGCGTTAATGTCTTAAAACTTAAAGGACATACTATACCCTTTGAATCTAAAAGTGACACAAAACAACACTCCACATGCTGCAGACAAAAACACGCAGCCTTAATCTGGTGCACATGAATAGATGCTTCATTGGGAAGTTTTTCTAATTATACAACTAATGTTCAGTTGCTACATAAAATTACTTTAAATTTAAAACAATCTAAAAAAAAATAAAATAGTTCTTCTTACTAACTTTATATAATGTAAAAAGTTTACAGTTGTAATCCCACAAAATCAGCACAAAGTTACTTTACCTTGTGGAGATGTTCAAGTGCCAAAACAATTTCCCCAATGTAAATTTGCACCTCATTTTCTGAGAATCTCTCTCTGTGTGAAAGGTGAGTAAACAATTCTCCTCCATTTATATAGTCTAGAAAGTAGAACAAAGAACCTTATAATTTCACTTCCTGACAGCTTAATTTTCTTACTGGAATATTAATAGGTACTTTGTAAGCTATTAAATAACATGTTCTGGGATCAGATGCTTTTATTTCATTGTAATTTAGTAATAATTCACCATGTTGTACAATACTCAATTTTCTTCTTAGAGGACTGATGGAAGAACACAACCAATTTTTTAACAGGCAGCAAAACCATAAAATAAACCTCAACTCTCCATGAATTATAAAGACAAATATTTTCTTCAAAATTGGACTTTTAGTTATTCATGAAAAAGAAGGAGTACAAATGATGGCTACAAACAGAATACTTTGGACACTCTTACGAAATACTTCAGAGCAACAAGACAGACTGACGTAACGCAATTCAGAAAACAGGTATTAGGTGAAATAAAACCAAGCCAAGTGCAAGGTCCTACACCTGGGTCGGCACAACCCCAGGCACAGCTACAGGCTGGGTAGAGAAGAGATTCAAAGCAGCCCTGTGGAGAAGGGCTTGGGGGGGGTGGTTGATGACAAGCTTGACAGGAGCCAGCTTCAGAGTGCGCTTGCAGCCCAGAAAGCCAACCGTATCCTGGGCTGCATCAAAAGAAGCGTGACCAGCAGGTCAAATGAGGTGATCCTGCCCCTCTACTCTGCTCTCCTGAGACCTCACTTGGAGTGTTGTGTCCAGTTCTGATGTCCTCAACATAAAAAGGGCATGGAGCTGTTGGAGCAAGTCCAGAGGAGGGCCACGAGGATGAGAAAGTTGGGGCTGTTCAGCGTGGAAAAGAGAAGGCTGCGTGGAGACCTCATAGCAGCCTTCCAGTATCTGAAGGGGGCCTATAAGGATGTTGGGGAGGGACTGTTCATCAGGGACTCTAGTGGTAGGACAAGGGGTAATGGCTTTAAACTTAAAGAGGGGAAGTTTAGATTAGATATAAGGAAGAAGTTCTTCACAGTGAGGGTGGTGAGGCACTGGAATAGGTTGCCCAAGGAAGTTGTGAATGCTCCAACCCTGGCGGTGTTCAGGGCCAGACTGGACAGAGCCTTGGGCGAAATAGTTTAGTGTGTGGTGTCCCTGCTCACGGCAGGGGGGGTGGGACTAGATGATCTTAAGGTCCTTTCCAACCCTAACTATTCTATGATTCTATAATAAGCAATTACAAGTTTCACCCTTTGTAAGGGGAACTTCGGTGGCAAAATTTACTAGAGATGATTATTTCTACACACATTCCCTCATGGAAACCACACTTGCATTCTCTGCAGGCTATGACACAAGGGTTTTGACCACAGTCAGGGTGGGGGGTGAAAAATAAAGTAATTTTTACAACAAAGTTCCACTACAACACAAATATATTTTACATGTACAGCTGTTCATGCTAGCAGTGTACATTAAAGCCATTAATTTGCAATCCCACAGCTCCCATATTGTATTTAGGATCTACATACACAGAGCAAGGAATGTGTTCCATATCTTACTTAACATTTCCTTCAATATGGTTTCTATAGATTCACTGGTATAACACATAAATCCACAGAAAAGGTCCAATGCTGTTATAACTAAGTAAATACTTGGAAGGAGAAAGAATAAATAAATAAACTATAGATACTCTGATCTCTTTTCTCTTTTCAGTTCTCCAAGTCTCTGTCTGGGGAGGTGTATTAGTGGAATAAAACAATATGAGGAAGATAATTTATTTAGATCAGAACACATCTGAAAAATAAAATAAAGTATAAATAACCCATATTTTACAATTGCTTCCTTCTTAAACACACCACACACACAAAAAAACCCCAGCAACTCAGCATTCTAACCATGAAGAAAACACACGTTTAAAAAAAAATAAATTCTAATCAGAACTGCTAACATGGTACAATTCAAGAACTGGATTTCCAGGCACTGTTCTAATGACTGAGACAAATACAAGCCAAACCTGCCACAGGAGTAGCAGAACAAGCCTAATTCTGTTCGGGTTATAACACTAACCACAGCCCAATGAAACAACCTGCCTTCAAATTCTTGGTGCTAAATCAAATGCACCACTGACACAATAGGGGGAAAAAAAAAACCTAATTATCAGTTACTTCAGTATAAACTCCAGCTGACAGGTCAGGGGTTTTTTTGTTTTTTGGTTTTTTTTTTTTTTTTTTTAAAGTATTAGTAGTTTAACCTCATGTGACAAGCTTTGTAGAGAACTGGTTGTAGAAAACTGGTACTCACATGCATACACCACTTTGTTCTTTCAATCATAGCTTAAAGTCAAGCTAAAAAATGGAATCAATTCCAAATCCTGTATTCTGGGAATCTGGCAGAAATGCAACTGCATGTCTGCACTTGATCCAGACTAAATTCATACAGCTATGGAATCTGATGGAACAAAGAACTGTATTAAATATTGCACTGAGGCTCAGATTCTAAAATCTCTTGAAACTGAAATGACATGTTGCTCATACCTCAAGCTCAGCTACAAAAACAAAGGCAAAGACTGGTTTCCGCAAAAATTCAGAAGCCTCTGAAACAGACTCCAACACTAAATCAAAGAAGTTATTTACACAGATTTATATAATGAGATATAAAAAACTTGCAACAAACAATTGGGTTTTTTTTGTCAGGGAAGGCATGAAGGCCAGGGACAAAGAAAAAGTAGCTTTAGGCCACGTTATGTAGAAAATACTTTCACTGTTACAAAAAGTGATTAAAAGAAATTTTTAATACCCCTCTGATTATTCCCATTTTTTGCTAAATAGAAGGGGAAAAAAAGAACCTTTCTGGCCCGAACTGATAGTCTGAGAATGGATTCATGCAGATTTGTGGGAAAGCAAAAAAAAAAAAAAATAAAATAAAAAATTATACAACAGCTTTGAATTTCTTACTTTAAACATCACCTTATCATTGTGTCATGGTGGGCATATACCCAACCTGCACCATCTGCTATGCAATGTTCTTCAGAACTACTGGGCTCCCTATTCTTCGACTCTTAGGAGAATATGTACATATTTTTAGGTAACTACATCCATCTCATGTGTGAGGATTTGTTTGGTTTGGCATGGGGGTTTTTTTAATACTTTAATGGTATCTAAACTGCATTCTAACCAAAAATATCTGGATTTAAAGAATGGTACTATAATATCTATAACACATGTTCATATTTTGCCGTATTTAATTTTTCTTCTTTTTTTTTTTCCAAATTACTAATCTGCAACTTCAATACAAAAGAAAAAAAAATCTTTATTATTAGAGGTTAACAACAAAGCTATCGATCTATTTCTAACTTTTTGTGTCTTTAGCATATTCCAGCTGATGACAATAGCTCACAGATTCCTTTAATGGCCTAGTCAGAGGAATTTGTAAGAATCCTTATTGAAAATGAGAGTATTGCAAAGGAAGTTAGTCAATACTCTATTTAAGCTTGAGCTCCTCAGATACCTGTATTATCTCACTGTAGCAAATGAAACCAAGGTATGTGCATAGAACACCTTCCTAAGAATTGTCAGACAGTGGTGTAGATTTATGTAACATTAATAAAATTTTATTAATTTAATGTCTAAATCAGCCTGCTAATAAAGGTTCAATAAATGGAAGTTACGAACTAAAAGGAATTGAAAAACTTGTACTTCAATTAAAGGATCATTTACTTCTTCAAATTTTTCACTCCAAAAATGTATCCTGCATCCAAGCATTAACTTGATTATTCATTTTCCAGTTTCAAAATACTCTAAGTAAGTGGCCTTTTAAAACTGCTTGTAATTTTCTTACAAATACATCTTGCGCACCAAACACAAAATTTGCTGCTGATCTAAAGGTGAAAGTATTTCTAATTTTAGAGTACTACCAAGTCTTATGAACAAGCTCTACTTTCAGCATAGAAATGTGTGATTTTGGATTGCCTCCTAACATCCAAAAATCAAAATATGCAGTATCTCAATACTCAAAGATCAAATGGTTTCATAAAGAAAGGTTTGGCAGCAAATGCTTCCTGAAGCAGTAAGGTTAAGAGTTGATTTTAATACTCTTACTCCAGGAGCTGAAAAAACATTCCTCATTATCAAGAAAAATCCTTCATCTTCCTGAAAAAGATAGGACTCTTCGAAAGCAATATAACTGGGGAATAAAGTAAAAGGAATGTAACTCCCTACTCTCAGCTTCTTTCCCCAGAATGTTACTGTCCTAAAAAAGGATAGTGGTAGAGAATGGAGACACATGGACATATGGAAGTTATATCTTAGTTGAAAACTCTAGGAAAGTTCCTGATCAGTCTTCTGCCAGCCTTGAAATGCTACAGAAATCAATGTGGTTCTTCACCTCAAAATGGAAAGCAAAACAGTAAGGATAGAATCAGAATGAAGAACGTTCTAATAGGGCTTGACATACAACAGTTCATTATCAAGCGTCTCTTGTAAATGCAGATTTACAAAAGTTAGTGGTAGAACTTGGCAAAATGAAGTATCACAACGCACAGAACAAACTGATCAACAAGTATTTTTACCAGCATTTTACAGCAGGAAGCCATACCAACAAGCTGTAGATTCCACTGTTGTAAGGAATTTGACCAGAAATAAAAGAAAGCGCAATCATCTTTAACTGGCATTGCCCACATTTGTTCAGAAAAAAAAAACCCAACAAAAAAACCAAAACAAACAAAAAAAAAACCCTGCCTGATACAGTCTTTAAGGTTGAAGCATTTCAGTGTTAAAATGGTGTACTACTGGTTAGCACAGTGATAAATAGCCCTGACCTCTCAGACAGATGACACCATTTCAAAACACTGATCACAGTAAGGACAATATGCTAGGTGGGTTTAGAGTGAAATGTACAGGATGTTTGAAGGCTTTCTGCTGCTTAAATATTCCTTACTTTTTTCTTCTTTCCTACCAGCTAATCCCAGTAACAAAGTCCTGTTTGGTCATCCAACCTTACTAATAACCTCTGTTTCACATACACAACAGCAGCATGCAGAGAAAATAAACTAGATCACTTTAATGCCCATATTCACAGAGATTAAGAACATTTTCATTCATGGTAGCAGTTTGTTTAAAAATCTGTAGAAAACTTAGGCAGCATATAACAATGGTTTAAAAAGTGCAAATAAAACTTTCATCTTCTAGTTAAGTTCAAGAAAATATTTCTCTTGTTTAAGTACTTATGGTCCTATACTTATTGATAATACTTCCACCTACCCCAAGTCAGACTAGCACACTGAAGTTCAAACAGGAAAACCACACACACAGACACTGTTGAAGATTAACAGTATTTTACTTCCTATAGTCTCTCATGCAATCTCCAAACACACAGTACTTAAGACCACATGAAAAAAAACCCTACAAAATATTAAGGAGATAAAAGGGCAGGGTTTTTTTGGTTTGGGTTTTTTTTTCCCAACTAACATAAGACTTAAATCCTGCAAACTACTCACCTAAGATGAGATGAAGCTTTGTATCTGTCTGGAAGGCATAATGTAACGTGACCAAAAACGGTGATTGCCTAATGTGCTCCAACACTTGTCGTTCTGTCCTTGTGTGCTCAGTTGTTTTGGCTTTTTGAACTATTGTTGCTTTCTTCAGTACTTTCATCGCATACAGCTTTCCAGCATCATGGCCACTTACTTTCCTTACTAGGAACACTTTTCCATAGGCTTAAAGAGAAGTAGGCAGGGGGAAGAAAAAAAAAGCAAAACAAACAAAAACAAACAGTCACCTACTCATACCACAGGTCTGGCTGATATAATTATTATTTTCAATTACTCACTGTTAACCACTACTCACAGTACCCATTCAGGCTAAAACCTTTCAGAACAAATTCTTTGTTTCAGACAGACATTTTCTGAGCAAAACTTCAACCAAATGAGTTTAGTGACTGAACACAGCAAGAGTGTGAAAAAAACAAGTAGTGTTTCGGGATTGAAAAAACACCTAAAAAGCTCCCTTTGTAAAAACCTAAAACACCTATACGTAGAATTTAACAAGAGTTTGGAGTTAGAGAGATGCTATTTTTTTGTCCTCAAAATAGTCTGTTCATATTTGCACAACCTACTGGTTCATTACTGGCATTACAGCACTGAAGTTCCAGAAACTCGTAGAAAAGCCAATGTATTTAGTACACAGGAATTTTCTGAGGCTCCAATACTTAACTTAGATGAGCATAACCTAGAGGAATTATCTAAAAAAGAAAGTTTTCTAAACACAAGCAGTAAAAGGTATAGTCACCAGAACTAAAAGGTAGTCTTCCCAGAGTTTTCAATTACTGTATCTATGTGTTCAGTTTACACATTTGGTTAAAAATACTCTCCATACTGGAGTACTAACTGATAGACTGGATTTTTAAGATTGGACTGTTTGGTTGGAGTTTCTTTATAAAAAGGGCTCCTGGGAATTGTACACAAGTAGATTGATACCTCAGCTAGGGAAACCTGTAGAAACAGTAAAGGTTAGAATTAGTAGATACACAAACAAGATACTACATAAAAGAATGTATGCTACTTTTGTAGATGATAATGATTATTTCTATTAATAATCACTCAAAACAATCAGGAGGAAGGAACAATGATATGGTTGACTTATTTAGATTTCCAAGATACTAAAGTTCCCTTACAAAATGGTCTTAAAAAACACTAAATAGTCATGGCTGCAAAGAACAGGGTCCTCTTATGAATGAAGAGCTGCATTAGCAAGGGGAAAAAAAAAAAAAACACAAAACCACAAACAAACCACACACACACAAAAACAAACAAACAAAAACAAACAACAACAAAAAAAAACCTAAAAGGTTAAAACCAAAAAACTCAGCTTTTTGGGTGAAAGGAGGTCACCACAGAAATTCATCCTGCCTGATTCACTCATATATGAATAGCGAGGAAGCTGACTTTCTTGGTTTAGTAAATCATCCACTGCAACAGAAATCAAAGCTGACTGCTGAAAACTGTACTACAGTATCAAAATATTAAGAAGCTGAAAAATAAAATGGCAGCTAAAATTCCAAACAGGTAAACAAGTAATCCATATGAAGTATGATAATTAATTGTGCATAGAGTTATAACTGAGAAAAAATAAGAAGAAAATAGAGTTATCAAATAGGTAACTAATATATAAGTAACATAGACTTTACCCTATGAGAAAACACCAGTGGTAATCCAAAAAGCAAATCGCACATTAGAACTTCAAGGAAATTATTGAAGGAGAAAAATGACACAAACGTACTCTCCTCCAAACGTTCAACACAAAACCAGAAATCCCTTATGCTCTGGTATGAAACCTTTGTGTGCTTGTATCTTGAATGACGCACACTTTTTGGGGTGTCTTGTCTCTTCTTTCCCCAGCTCTGCCCACCCCAGTCACAAAAGAAGTATAGAACAACTTTAAAAAAATACAGAAAAGGATAAAAGAATTCCTCTAATTATGAAGGGAACTAAGCACACTTAAGACCTTTTATTTAGCCTGAAAGATTAGAGTGCTTAAGAATATGCTAAACAGTTAAAAATAAAAAATGGTATGAAGGTAAGTGAAGAACAATTTTCTGTTATTTCTAGAAATAAAATACCAAAACTAAATCATCAGGTATCAAGATTAAGAAATGCCCAAAACACACAAATAAATATGTGGTTAAGCTGTGGAACAACTCATCCATTATACTGCAGATGTCAAAAACATAGATGAGTTCAAAATGATTATATAAATCCTTGAGGGAGATGAAAGTATAACAAGAATTGCTAAACAAGAGAATAATCTCTGGCTCAGGCAGACCCCAAACTGCAGGCTGCTACAAGTTCACTAAGGAAAACACCATTGTATGCCTCTCCACATTCTGTAGGATCTCCTTAAGCCATCATGAGAGACAAAAAACAACTACCTGAGTGTTTTGTTCAACCCCTATAATTACCTTCACATTACTTTCTCAAAGACAATGCTCACGCATCTCAAAACTGTAAATACACTAGACAAGGTATATTGTCCTGACACGAGGCACACAAATTTAGTTGGTCTTTAAAAATGCTACAGCAGACACTGTTCCCAGTAAGTAACTGGATATAATTCCAGATCCTTCCTCTTCTTTTCCAGACAGGTAATAGAGTTATAAATTATCAAATGGCATGTGTTTTTGTCCTACAACAGAGTTCTGCTTCATGCAGTATACGAAAGGGGTACCGTTCATATAATAAACAACTCTTTTTAAGAAGTTCTTTACCTGACTCATCACACCCTAAGGAATTATGCTTGCCTTCTTTACAGAACTCATTATTTTCAATAATGCAAAATTTTTTTCACAACAAACCTCTCAAGAATGGCAAATAGATCAGGACAGGTTGTGTAAACATATCTTTCTATATCGGGAGGCAAATGGGAGATACTCAGGACAATCTTTTTCAAGATGTTCAGTATTAGATCATATTTCCTGACTTTAATTCTAGTTAGGCCATCTCAAGTGTACCTAAGTCAGATTCACTGTTCACCAGCTGGTCATCAAGAAATGGAAAGACACATAGATGTAAAAAGATTTTTTTACTTTAGTAAAACACGCATGGGCTATATATCCTGTCAAAATGTACAGACACAACTGATCTGAATCAAGGTCATAAAACCATAGTATTGTGACCACAGTAATACTGTTATGCATATACATGTTTTTAATGCTAGTCACCTATTTTTCCAATATTGGATGTTAAATTATTTTTAGCATCTGAAAACCAGACACCTACTATTGAGAGTACTGATTTTAAATAAAAATTGCTTCCAAAAGTAGTATTTACATCTTTTTAAGGTGTTACTTCTCAAAAAATAAAAAAACAAACCCGTAACATTTCTGCATTCTACCACCAATCAACAAAAACAGCACGGAGAATGGCCTTAGCTTGCATTTCTCAACTGCTTATGGGAGCAGTCCAAGTTTTCACTAATGTTTCACAGCTGAACTTCCTTGCACCTCTCTGAAAAGCCCAGTCTAGAGCATTAAACAGAAGTTTCCTTGGGTTCCCAGGAAACAGTAGTTTTATCAGGAATGTTGGATCCAGAAAATCATTACGTAAAACTAAATTAAAACAACAAAAGGCCCTAGATCTCGGCTGCCTGTCTCATAAAATCACAGAATGGTTAGGGTTGGAAAGGACCTTAAGATCATCTAGTTCCAAACCCCCTTGACATGAACAGGGACACCTCCCACTAGACCATGTTGCCCAAGGCTCTGTCCAACCTGGCCCTGAACACTGCCAGAGATGGAGCATTCACAACTTCTTTGGGCAACCTGTTCCACTGCCTCACCACTCTCACAGCAAAGAACTGCTTCCTTATATCTAACCTGAACTTCCCCTGTTTGAGTTTAAACCCATTGCTTCTTGTCCTATAGCTGCAGTCCCTGATGAAGAGTCACTCTACAGCATCCTTGGTAGGCCCCCTGTATCTTTAATCACACTTAATAAAAACATACAATAATGCATCTTAAATGGCAAAACACTAGCAGTCTATTAACAGCACCTACTAGAGCTTTACATACAGCACAGGAGAAAATTACCTGGTAAGTGTAATAGCTGTAAGGAAATCTCTAGAAACTATACTAGTGTTATCATAAAACAATTTGTAACATAGAACTTTACCATGGTACAACTTGTTTCTTCAGCAATCTGAAAAGGACTGACAGAATGATGATGATTCTCAGCAGTTTTGATGAGAATAAATCTTAAGTAGCACTATTTTAATCAAATGACTCATGATACATTCAACACCAGGAAGGTATCTCTGATAACACCACGAAAAATCTACTTAAAAGACAACACTGCAAAAGCAATTCATTTGAGTGGCAGCAAGGAGAAGGCACATAAGGCTAAATGCAAAGAACACCCTTACCTGATAACCTTATTTGAGAAATTAAGAAAGCTTTCCTGAAGAAGCCACATTTTAATGTTTATTCTCATAAAATCTCATGCACATCTCAAGCAATTCCAAGGCAGAAATATTTAGCCAGCAATATATCCCCCATAAAGAAACATACACACAGAGTCCCCAAATATTCACCCCCAAAATTCATTAAAAATATTTTAAATGACAGAAGAACTAGAAGTCTATATAGTCTTATATAGTCTCATATATTATAAAATGTGTATTATACACATACCCAAACTATGTTAGACTGACCTTGCAGATTATTAAGATAAATACTAAGAAATTTCAAGTTTGAGAAAAAACAATTATTAGTTGCAGACTGATACAGATATCAGGCCTGTAACATGAATAAGAGATTTCATACCAGCTGTTTTTACCAAATTTCCACTTAATTTGTGAGGCAGAAAAATATAATTAGAGGTTAAAACTTTCATTTCTGCCTTTTTCATGAACACACATTGTAGTACACACCATCATAAGTAACAATTCAGCAAGTCATTATAATAATATTCTAAAGTACACACTTGCTGAAAGATAATGAATTAAAAATACATAGTATTCTTTGCTGCTTTATTCTTTCTGTATAAATGCAAGCACGTTAAACGACTGCATCATGCCAGCCAATTCTTACAGAGAAAAAAATCAAGCAATTCTTATTGTTCATAGCACACAGGATGGTTTATGCAGACTTCTAAATACATCAAAACTTGACATTTGTATACAGATAGTTTTAAAGCAATGTTTTCAAGTGTTAACATAAGCTACACCTCTTTCTTATATTACTTACACTGACAGTAAAAAAGAGTAATCATGAGCCAACAAAGAAATGGCTCAGAGATATGAAATATTTAAAGATTTGCATAAATTTCACTGAATTCTATAAATACATATGCCTAATGGCCTATTTTCACTTTTTATTGTTAAAGTAGTCTTTAGGTTTAATCTTCCCAAATAATTTAGACGCAGAACTCTCATTATGCATACATTTGTCCATAGTAATTGAAATTTGGGATATGGCAAAATCAGAAAGGCAGATAGCTCTAGCAGCTAAAAACAAAAAAAGCCAAGCAAAAACATTAACAAAGATCAAACAATTATTTTTAGACACTCCCTAATGTTGGCTCACTCTCCTGAGCACAGTAACCTCACTTCTTTCTCTTCCTTTTATGATGGAATATTTTCCATTTTCTTCAAGATGCTTTGAAAGAACTAACTTAATTTCACAGTCTTAACTTTATCAGAATGCCTTCTCACCTCTTAGATGGAACTTCATTATACTTTCTTGTATAACAAGATTTTGAGCTGATTATTTAAATCTGACATTCATCCTACCAATTTTCTTTCCTTCTCATGAATATATCCTTCAGATTCTAAGTATCTTCCACATATAAAGAGAATATCCTTCATACATAAGCACTTAACTCCAAAAGATCATTGTACTTGTTTCTAATCATTTTTTGTCTTCATCAGTGGACTGGAGTTCAAGCAGTAGACCAGCTTATTAGGGCACATGCTCCAGAACCACTTGTATTGTCTCTTCTTAAGCACAGTCGAAAGACTGAACAAAAGCAGCATTTATTAAAATCAGACAAAGCAACAGTTGAGTAGGGAAAAAAAAAAAAAAGAAAGAAAAAGAAAAAGAAGAATCTAGATGTAGAAAACTGCATGACCCAGAATGCACTTTACATTCACAACTTTTATTTTAAAAACACATTTACGAAGAATAAAGCTAATAAGCCAAGTAGGCATGTATAAACCAAAACAGTCACCTTCTCTTGTTGTTCCCTTCATGACTTTGGGAAGAACTAGATTGGTTTGCTGCAAGTATCCTTATTCTACAGAATAGACACTAGTTTTTGATGTCACAGGAAGAAAAAAAAAAGTTTTAACTAGATCGGAGGGAAACATGGATTCAGTGGACAGGAAATCTCAAAATTCCAAATCAGCAATGCTATACAGTAACAGCAGGAGAAAGTGACTTAAATGAAAACAAGAAGAGACTAGAATTTCAGAAATCATATACTGAGTAGAACATGTGCAAGTCAGAGATGTCAAGTAAGCAATACTTTGCTCCAAGAGCAACAAGTATATTATTGATAGCTTTAATAACAGTGGCATACTGTCATGTATTTTGTTTTATCAATGTAAAGTGTTACCGATTGCTTCAATGGGGAAGTTTATTACATTATTAGCTCTTTACGCAACATAAAAGGATCCAAATCAGATTAAAAGGCTACTAACTCAGATTTTTGCTTCCTCGTCTTTTCCTGTGAGACTCAGGTTAAAAGAAGAATGTGTACACTATGATATTCTTCTAATACCAAATATCCTCCTTTCTTATTCTAACCAAAAAAAACCTAGAAGATAAATCAGACTCTTACTTATCAATACAGAACACATGCAAATATCTTCTAAACCTTTTCCTCATTTTTTGAGAAAGCAAGCCTAAGGACAACTGAAATGCAGACAAGTAGTTTTGTAGAGGGTACTAGTTCTAAATGTGGCCTTACTCTTGTACAGTATCATTTAAGACAAGTCTGCAGTAAGAGCTTGCTATTCCAAATATTTATGACTTACTTTGCTGTGATTATAGTTTTCTTTGTGCTTCTTCTCATTCCCTCAAGTAAACATATATTCTGGTACAAAGAACTGAGAAGTCAGGAGTCACACTCACTCCTCCAACCTCAGTTTGAGTGTAAGATGTTGCGGGCCTAAACAGGACCCCACAACTCATGACACAACACACTTAAGATCCCATAGCAAAGTTTGCATGCAAACAGGTGGTTAGAGTCTTATGAAGTTTCTGAAAAATAATCTCTCTGCTGTGAAAGCTGTGGGGAAAACAACAAGGTACATGACACAGAAAAAACACAGAGTCCATAAAATAGCTAAATAATCGAATGGATAGCCCCAGACTTTTCACATGCAGCAGATATAACATGTAATCTGGTTTTCTAAACTTCAGACTGAGTGCTTGCACAATAATTCTTGGCATATGCCAGGTAGTTCTAGAACTTCCTAAAAACTAAGTTTTTACAAAGGGGGTTGTATGTTATTAAACTAACAATACGAGAGTTAATTTGTACCTGTTTTCTGTGGTTCTGTAAAAAGAAGAAATGCCTTAACACAGATATATTCTATTGCAAAATACCATTCTTCCAGAAACTTCTTGCAAGAATGAGGGGGGATTTTTGCATACTGCAATCTCCAGAATGCTTCTCAAGCTTGGAAATTAAAAATCCT